TAATTTGACCAGAGAGGGAGAGAAGAGAGAGAGAGAGAGAGAGAGAAAAGGAAAGTGAGAAAGCAAGCCACCAGGTCTGGGACTGAAACCATGGTCAGCCATGTGGGAGTTCAGAGCCTTTAACTACCATGCCACCTGCTGGACCCAATATGGTAGAAATTTTAAGAAATATTTATGAAGGAAGGGGCATCTAAAAAACCCTTGGGCCAGGGACCAGCAAATGGCATAATGGTTACATCACTGGACTACCACATAGTTGACCTTGGTATGAGTCCCAGACTTGGCAGTTTAATAACTCATGCCAGGTAAGTGTGTGTGCATGCCCAAAATCCTGAGAGAAGGGATTGCAGTGTGGTCATGCATCCTGGGTGGGGGGGGGAGGTAATTTGCTTTTTGTCCCTCTGGCAAGCACACATGCACCATACCAAAAAAATCTTTCTGAAAAAGAAAACAAAAACAAAACCTTGGGCCAGCTTGAAGTGTGGTGGTTAGGATGGCTGGTTCCCACATGGCCAAGTCCTGGACCTATCAGCTTGAGAAACATGCCAGGTGCATGTGTGTACATGCTCTGAAATACTAAAAGGAAGGAAAAATGGAGATGGGATTGTGGCATAAGTATTCCACGTGGGGGTGTATGATTTTTCATTCTCTCTATCTCCTTCATCCTCTGAGTACACACACCTTCTGGAGAAAAAAATTGTCATTTTAATGTTTATTCCTTCTTTTTCCTTATTACTACGGGCATGTGTGCTCATAAGAAAGAGAGCAAGCACTTCCCCACTCCAATGGGGTATGGTCCCACTATACTCCTTTTTCCTCCATTTCTCCATCCCGTTAGGATTTGGAGCTTCAAGCACATGTGTCCAGTGTGTTTTTCAAACTACTTGGGCTGTGATTTGAACTGTGGTCAGCCATGTAGGATCTGGCTCCCTATACCCAGAGGTAACTGCTATGCTATGGGCCAGCCCTTTTATGTTTCTGTACATTCATACATGCATTATTTTACTTTTCTTATGGCCAGGTATAAGAAGTGGGTCAACTTTTTTTAATGTTTCTTTTTTTTAAGTTTATTTATTTCATGAGAAAGACAGGAAAAAGAGAGACAGAGGCAAGCAGTCAACCAGTATCACACTTGGCACATAGGGAGGTAACAGGGCATCAGCTGGGACCTTCCCACAGGGGTTCAGCATCACATTATCACCGTGGTAGGGTCCATTTTGGATTAAAATATCTCTACAAATAAATGATCAAGTATACTTTGCATTAGGCATTGTACTGATTATACCGAAGGACATTAACAAGTGTCTCAGCAAACATCCTATTTTAGGTAAGGAATTACAGGTTCACATAACTGGAAGGCATCTAGGGAACTAATTCAATCCATGATAGCCATTAATATGCTCCAGCAGGGGTTATAATACCTAAAGGATCACAGCTGTACCCCTCCAAAAGCTACTGTTAAAATACCTACCTGAACGGGAACCAGCAGTTAGTGTAATGGCTATGTTGCTGGACTCTCCCGTAGTTGACCGCGGTTCGCATCCCAGACCTGGTGGCTTAAAACTCACGCCAGGCGCATGTTTGCGCGTGCCCAAGATCCCGAGAGGAGAATGGAGGAGAAGTGATTGTGGCGTGACCATTCTCCCTGGGGGGTGATTTCTCACTGTCTGTCTCTATGTCTCTCTCTGTCTGTCTGGCAAGCGCACGTGCCCTATAAACGAAAATCTCTCAAAAAAAAAAAAAATCTACCTGAACAACCCCAATTTCCTTTATCCCTATGGTATTCTATTTTTTAAAAAATAACAAAATTTTAAAAATTTATTTAATTCCATTTGTTATTATTAGTATTTTAAAAAAGGATTATTTTATTTTATTTATTTATTTAATTTCATTTTGACCAGAGAGGAACAAAGGTGGCAGGGAGTGAGAAAGCAAGCCGCCAGGTCTGGGACTCAAACTGCAGTCAGCCATGTGGGAGCCCAGTGCCCTTAACCACCATGCCACATGCTGGCCTCTATTATTATTAGTTTTTAATTTGACCAGAGACAGGGAGAGAAACAGAAAGCACAAAAGCAAGCCACCAGGCCAGGACTTAAACCACAGTTGGCCATGTGGGATTCTGGCACCTTAACCACCATGCCACCTGCGGGCCCCATATCTTTATGGTATTAATTAATTAATTAATTAATTAATTTATGGAGAGGTTTCTGCTATAGGGCACATGCGCTTGCCAGAAAGACAGAGATAGACAGACAGAAAGCAAGAAATCACCCCCCAGGGGAGTTGGCCATGCCGCAATCCCTTCTCCTCCATTCTCTTCTTGGGATATTGGGCACATATGCACACGCGCCCAGCATGAGTATAAGCCACTGGGTCTGGGACTCAAACTGTGGTCGAATACATGGGAGTTCAATGACATAGCCATTACACTAACTGCTGGTCACTCTTTATGGTATTCTTAACTGGAAACCCATACAACCATCACATGGAAATTCAACAGCCATCACTGGCAGAAAATTATTATCTAAAGATACTAGATAATAAGTAGCTAAGAATTAGCTTAATAATAAGCTCATCACAGAAGCTTATTGGACTTTTGTAAAAATGAAGTCCTACATTAGAAATAAATAACCACCCAATTGCAAGTAGCCTGGTGGTTAAGGCGCTGGACTCCCATGTGGGTTCATTGCAGTTTGATTCCTGGACCTGGTGGCTTGCTTTCTCACTTTCCCTTTCTCTTTCTGTTTCTCTCTGGTCAAATTGAATAATACTAATAAATAAAACTAAACCAATCATTAAAAAAAAAATACCCAAAGTCTTTATGTAAGTATGCATGGAGGAACAGATTGGAACCAGAAAATTCTATTAAGAGAACAAGAGTAAAGGGAACAATGTAAATTAAATGAAGTCTTCCTAGTCTAAGTGTTAGGAAAACTGGTAGTATCTTTCTCTAGTGTGTTGGTGAAAATTCAAGATTTGACGGGACCAGCAGTAGGTGTAATGGCTATGTCACTGGCCTCTCATGTCGTTGACCGTGGTTCAAGTCCCGGACCTGGTGGCTCAAACTCACGCTGGGCATATGTGCATGTGTGCCGAAGATCCCCAGAGGAGATGGGATTGTGATGTGGCCATCCCCCTTGGGGGGTGATTTCTCACTTTCTGTTTCTCTGTCTCTGTCTTTCTGGCGAGTGCATGTGCCCTATTGCAAAAAACTCTCAGAAAAAAAAAATTCAAGATTTGAATTGACTGGGACCAGCAGTTAGCATAATGGCTATGTCGCTGGACTGCCATATGGTCAACCGCGGTTTGAGTCCCAGACCCCGTGGCTTAAAACTCACGCCAGGCCGTGTGTGTGCTCAAGATCCCGAGAGAATGGAGAAGGGATTGCGGCGTGGCCATGCCCCCTGGGGGATGATTTCTCGCTTTCTGTCCCTGTTTCTGTCTCTGTGGAGAGCGCACGCGCCCTACAGCAAAAACCTCTCCAAAAAAAAAAAAAATAAATAAAGTAAGATTTGAATTGACTAATTCTTGGCTCCACTCACTACTTTCTAAATTGTGGGACCTTGGGCAAGTCAGTTAACAAAACTCTCGGTTTCCTCATGGGTAAACATCCCACAGCGTTTTTGGACTGTGTCACACGCTTGGCTAACACCAGGCACTCGGTCGGCGGTCGTCCTCATTACCTGCACCACCTCTGGTACATGTACGAGATATGGCCTCAGGGTTAGCAAGCATCGGGGCAAGAGATCAGACCCCAGTCCTCCGATTCAATCCCAGTCACACCAGAACACCTCTCAGGGCCACCAGGGCAGCGACGCTCTGCTGGAGGCGGGTGTGGCTTGCGGGAGGAACACAGCAGCGGCCGAGCAGGCAGGAGAGACATTTCCGCCACACGGCGGGAGCGTCAGCCGGACTGAGACGCCGAACCGGAACTGGTGGGAGAAACGTTGGTTGGCCGAGACAGGTGACCGGAAGCGTCGCAGAGGCAGGACTACATTTCCCAGAAGCCCGCGGGGCAGGGCGAGGGGCGGGCGTCGGGGACATTACCGGACAGGCCTTGCCCGGCAATACCCAGGTAAATGCCGGCACTGCGGCTCCGAGGGAGAGTAACTAATCGTCCGCGCCTAGCTTTGTACTATTGAATAGTAACCCTCCTAACCCCTCCCGATCTGACAATAACAGTTCTCCCCACCGGGCGACTTCGGGATTTCCGGGCCTCAGGACTCCACCCCCACGACCCGCTTCAGCCTTCCCACACCCCCACCGTGGGCCTGGGGGCGCCTCCCAAATGCCTAAGGACGCAGGGAACTGCGCTAGTGAGGTGGAGGCCCAGGTAACCCTTTATAAGGCGGATGACCCATAATGGCCCCGCCGGCCCCTCCTCCACGCCCAGCGCCCGGCTCCCCGGCCTCGGTGAAGGGTGGTGTAAAGGAACGCCCCCGGTCCCGTCCCAGTGTACAGGGGTAGCTGGCGGGCGACTTGCCCTCTTCTTTAGTTGCTGCTCGGATGTCCTTGGCTCGGGGCGGCGAAAGCCGAGAACACCTGTGAGCCAAGCACTGCTAAGCCGCTCGGTCCACACGCCTAATCCCTGC